TTCTAGTAAATCTCGACTTTTATTAACCAAAACTTCATTTCATTCTTCATGGATGTCCCGCCAATTTATTTCAACAAGTGGTCGCCCAATGGTCGAAGTTCGACCATAACATGTATTTAAATATACTAATTTACTATAGTTATGTTTGACATTCAGTAAGACTATAGACAAGTAATATTAAAGGCAGACAATATTAATCTATTCTCAATTTGACTGCAGATTTTAACAATAGACAAAAGAGTACACACGCTTATGCGTGTATGTGTCGAGTACATGGTAGTGTACATGTGTATTTTTTTGTTTTATTGATTTAATGTATTTTTTATGTGTAATTTTAAAAATATATTAGCTATCTGCACCCCTTCTATATATAATTTATATTCCGATATATAAACTACTATCGACCCGTCCCGGCTTCGCACGGGTGGACATTTTTACAACATATTAAAAAGTGGTTATTGTGACATAACGATAATAGTTGGACATATAGTATCGCGAAGTTTTTTGTAGTCATTGATATTTTCTTCAATATTGTAGAACATAATTTTGTTCATCACCAATAGTTACTGCAGCTCACGCGACGAAAAATATTTTATAGCTTTTTTTTTACACCTTGAGCTACGTTACTAAAGTTTCAGTAAGGATCCCTAATCTTTTCTAGCAATAAACATAGCCTATGTTATTCAGGGTGAATGTAGCTTTCTAATGGTGAAAGAATTTTTGATATCCGCAAAGTGGTTTTTGAGTTTATTCATTACAAACATAGATATACGCAAAAATACAAATCTTTCCTCTATAATATTAGTTTAGATTTCATACTCCTCCGGCCGCGCAATTTTCGTAAAAAGGGGTACAAAGTTTTTGCTTCACGTATTTAATATATATATAACATAGCCGGGTGTATTATTCCATTTATATCTACAAATAAAAAAAAAAAAAAAAAAAAAATATACATAGAGTTCCTGCAACATTTTTGAGGTCATTGCTCCGTCTATCACGTGAGGGTCACCCTACACTGCGTTCTCCTATGGTTCGCTTCGAGAACATTTTTTACCTGCAACGGTTATTGCTTCTTCAAGCTACGATATATGTTAGGGATATATAAGCATATTTTTTATAATTTTTAGGGTTCCGTACCTACAAGGGAAAACGGAACCCTTACAGGATCACTTCGTTGTCCGTCCATCCGTCTGTCAAGACCCTTTTTCCTTAGAACGCGTGGAGGTACAAAGTTGAAATTAATATCATATACTTAGGTCTGCAATCTTTTAAAGCAGTGAAAAACTTAAGCTTCTAAATCGACGCAATCAAAAGATGCAGCCTTTTATGTACCATTTATGTCGCATATTTTAACATTCGTAAAGAGAATCAAAGCATATAGGGTACTTCCCGTTGACCTAGAATCATGGAATTTGGTAAGATGCAATGTCATGTAGCACAAGTAAAGGAAAAAATCCGAAAAACGTAATTTTGTAGTTATTTCACAAAAAAAAAAAAAAACTCGATGATTTTGTACGGAACCCTCGTTGCGCGAGTCCGACTCGCACTTGAGCGGCTTTTTTTTATTTTTCTTTTTTTCCATTAATTCTCAATTTGCCTGTATTTTTGTGAAGAAGACATTGGAGAATGTTTTTATCCGGTCACGCGGGCAAAGTCAAATCACGTCTAAAGTTTGTTTCAATAAAACTGAATGAAAATGTAAACAAACGCATAAATTGATCCAATCATAAGACAGTCTGCTTATGTCCAATAATAGTTCTCGCTTAATTCCAATTTATTACTAATTTAATATTATGCAATTTAATTAAAAACACAGTGAGGTATATAGATAGATAGATACTCTTTATTGTTTCCTCCAAAAGATTACAATAGTAAACTTATTATAAATATAAACATATAAATACAAGGACTGCTTAATATTCAATTGACTGTAATAAATTTTCATCCCATGGTCTCTTTATAGAATGGGCTAGCGCTTCCTTTCCCGTGGGTGTCGTAAAAGGCCATTAAGGGGACTTAATGGTCGAGAGATAGGCAGCAGGGTCCCTCTTAAAACATTACCAAAGCCTAACTGCGGTTGCGAACTCACCTGCCAAGCGTGACAACTAGTGGCAAAAGGTTGTCAATAGAGGAAGGCCTATGTTTAGTAGTGGACAGTTAAACGCTGATGTGATGACGATGACGATGATGAAATGCCAAATTAAAAATTGTAATTTATACAATATTTCTTTTTTAATGGGTGATAATGGAATGGTAACCCCACCCGCGCTAACAGTATACACTGGCGGAGCACCAGTAAAGGATGATAGGTGAGGATGAAGCAGGTCAGTTGGCCCATCGCGATGGATTCAACAAGAATTGTTCACGATGGTTTCCAGGGGAACTACTTGGAGGTCGACCTGATAGGGCATATTGCTAGCAATGGGGCTGTCAAACTCCATTGCTAACAATCCCTTTCCCCCCAAGAGATACATTTAGGAATGTTACCTCAGTATTGACACTGATATATTTTTGAGACTGTTTTTGTGTTAGTTTTAGTTAAGCTTAGTTTTTTTTTTAATTCTGTTGAAACAAAGTAACTAGTATTCGTATGCAGCGATCATATGAAGGCAACATCAAAGGATTTTTTATTTAATTCGTGGTACGTGACGTTGGAGATAAGTACCCATACGTAAGTATAGACGGCACGCTTCCCCCGTCACGGTTATGTCAGCCGTTAACCGGCCATTTATCCGGTTAAGGCGAGGTAGTTATCTCGGAAATTAGATGAATTACTGATAATTTTTTTTCAATGGATGATAAGGGAATGGCAACCCCGTTTGTGTTATTGGTATACGCTGGCGGGGTACTTGTTAAGGGTGATAGGTGAGGGTGTAAAAAATTCTTTGGGAATTAACTGTGATTATCTTCAGGTAGATTCCTTTGGAGGTCGAATTGCTAGCAATAGGGCTTCTAATCCCCATTATTGCCAATTCCTTCTCCTTCCGGAATGTAAAGGTATGGCGTGAATTTACTGGGTACAGAGGAATAACACCTGAGTCCTCAGGAATGGCAACGCATGGGGGGTATCATGGACGAAACAATATACTCTGTTATGTCCACGGTACTGCTCATGTCTATAGGCGACGGTTACCACTTTCCATCAGGTGGGCCGTCAACTTGTTTGCCATTCTAAGTTGTATAAAAAAAAAATTATACGTAATGCGCAGAAATAAATCCCTACTCCTCCAAACTAAATTAATTGTTGGTAAAATTTCCTAAATTATTATTATTAATAAAAATCTTGCATCATCTTGCATCTTGCATCAGTACTGTCCACTGCTGAACAAAGCCTCCCTCATAAGGAGGAGGTTTGTCAGTAGTTGCCACGCTTGGCAGGTGGGTTGGCAACTGAATTTTGGATTTTCGTGATGTTGTAAGAGGCGCGCTGCTGTCCATCCCTCCACCATAAGCTCGCATAGTCGCCTTTTACGATATCCACGAGAAAGGAAGGGGTTGCCAATAAAATTAATATAAAAAAAATGAAGAATATTATAAAAATGTATCAAAGAGTTTGCTATATTTTTTTTATACAACTTAGAATGACAAACAAGCTGATGGAAAGTGGTAAGCGTCGCCTATAGACATGAGCAGTACCATGGACATAACAGAGTATACTGTTTCGCCCATGATACCCCCCATACGTTGCCATTCCTGAGGACTTAGGTGTTATTCCTTTGTACCCTGTAAATTCACGCCATATCCCACCCTTCAAACCGAAACACAGCTATGCAAACATAACTGCTTCACGGTTGAAACACGAATGGGACAGAGGTACCCAAGCAATCGACTTTTGTACAAAGTCTTCCTCTGGTAAAAGTTATTGTTAGTGATTAAAATATATTTTGAGTTTAATAATTTTAATTAAAAAAAAAAGCTTATTTCGAATTTCGAAATATCTAATTCACCCATTGAAAATTGGTATAATTTTATCGGTCATCCATTTTTGTGGACAATGATTGACTATTTTATTAATAAATGCTTTAAATTTAGAATTGCGCATACGCATTATTTTCTAGTTCATAATTATGCAAATCGCAATTCGAGATAGGTGTTATACCTTAAAGGTTGCCTCTGTCCATTTATTTATATATTTATTTATTCTTTATTGCACAATAAAACTTTGTACAAGTGGCGAGCTTAATGCCATATGGCATTCTCTACCAGCTAACCATTCGGTAAAAACAGAAACCGTATGAAGGGCAGATGTGGTGAAAAATATGTGACATAATATATAATCAGTCAATACCATATAAACCGGAATAACACCAGAGTCCTCAGGAATGGCAATGTATGGGGGGTATCATGGGCGAAACAGTATACTCTGTTATGTCCATGGTACTGCTCATGTCTATAGGCGACGATAACCGCTTTCCATCGAGTGAGCCGTCAGCTTGTTTGCTATTCTAAGTTGCATAAAAAAATTAGGTTTTCCAACTGAGTTTTTTTTTACAACACAGTGGGCAAACGAGCATGCGACTCACCTGATGGTAAGTGACTACCGCCGCCCATGGTCACCCACAACACCAACAGCATTGCAGGTGTGCTGCCGGCCTTTTAAAAAGGAATATGCTCTTTTTAGGATACAATTTTATATTATTATTTTATTTAATAACGTAATTAAAAAACGAAATTGAAAGTACCCGTAACCGGCGAGCGTGTATGAAAAGATTGATGAATGTGGAGGAAGCGAAAGAGGTTCGTTTGAATCGAAGCATCTGGCGTTCTATTGTTTCTGCCTACCCTAATGGGAGACAGGCGTGACAGATATATATGAATGTATATTTAAAAAACGTTCGTGAGAATAAGGGTTAAGGTCAAACCTCTAATCGGATGAATTGTCTTAGTTACGTTGCGTTCGAGAGACCTCGCCTTAAGTACGCATATATTATAGCAACCTAGTTATAAGTACATACTAATTGTACATATTTATGTACAGAGTTGTTTATAGGGCAGGAGTTTTCTCAGTGTGTTGGTCAACTTGAGATTAAAAACTCGTGCGTTCAAGTTAATTTTCTCAAAGGGAAAATAAATATATTTTATAAATTTATTTGTGAAAATGTTAACTATTTGATACCTATATTGTTTGTTTGGATATTAGAAATTAGAAAATATAGCGCTTTATTTTTCACTAATTTAATTGTGAAGTTATAGTGTTACTGAGGTAAACTTTTTATTATTAATAAATATTTATTTTATAAGATATTATATTAATATAAGGTCATTGCTCAGTTCTTTATCATGAACATCGATTTTTTCATTCGTCTGAACATGAAGTCTGCTTGGGTACCATTGTCCCATTCGTCTTTCTGTCGCTAAGCGGTTGTGTTTACTTGATTGTTCTTAGATTGAGTTAACTGTCCACTGCTGAACATAAGCCTTCCCCATAAGGCAAATTTTGCTAGTAGTTACCACGCTTGGCAGGCGGGTTGGCAACCGCAGTTAGGCTTTTAGAGATGTCTCAAGAGGGACGTTGCCGCCTTTCCTTTAGTCGCCTCTTACGACACCCATAGGAAAGGAAGGGATGGGATGTGGCAAAGAAATTACTGGGCATGAAGTTAGATCATTGGAAATGCACGAGTCTACTAGTGTTATTCTTATTATTTGTGTATACGGGAAAGCATCGTGTTGTTTTTTTTAATGGATGATAATGGAATGGTAACCCCGCCTGTGCTACGGTATACACTGGCGGGACACCAGTGAGGGACGAATGGTGAGGATGAAAAAGGTAGGTCATTTAGCCCACCGTGACGAATTCAACGATAAATTAACCACGATGGTTTCCAGGCAGCACTGTGTGGAGGTCGACCTGATGATTGATAGTTATCGGAACTTACCTCCCTATTACTAACAATTCCTTCCCCCATCACCATGATGGTGACAGTGATATCTATGATGCGCATTACGTTTAAATTCGATGGTTACTTGTTTTTCCCCAGTTCAGACATGAGCTTGTTTGGTATTCGGGTTCCTTTGTATAAAAATAAAGCATAGGATTTACCAGAGGGAGATTTTGTACAAAAGTCGATTGCTTGGGTACCTCTGTCCTATTCGTGTTTCAACCGTAAAGCAGTTGTGTTTGCATGGCTGTGTTTTGGTTTGAAGGGTGGGATATGGCGTGAATTTACAGGGTACAGAGGAATAACACCTGAGTCCTCAGGAATGGCAACGCATGGGGGGTATCATGGGCGAAACAGTATACTCTGTTATGTCCATGGTGCTGCTCATGTCTATAGGCGACTGTTACCACTTTCCATCAGGTGGGCCGTCAGCTTGTTTGCCATTCTAAGTTGTATAAAAAAAAATGCTATTAGAAACGACCCTAAATCACTTTACACTCATCGCTATGTGGTAAATCTTCACTAGCTTTTGATCATCAATAGATGACATAAAATCAATAGATGTTTCTTTTATTTGATTTTTCAATAGTCATACTGCAGACATAAAACAGTGAAATAAGAACCGGTTTGGGATTTATCCTTCTGTGTTTGAATACATTTTGTCAAACAGCTTATTAGGTAAATAGTGAGATTTTATAATTTTTTTAAATTGTTTTTTACTACTTATAATGGCAATCAAGCTGACGGCCCACCTGATGGAAAGTAGTAACCGTCGCCTATAGACATGAGCAGTACCATGGACATAACAGAGTATACTGTTTCACCCTTGTTACCCCCATGCGTTGCCATTCCAGAGGACTCAGGTGTTATTCCTCTGTACCCTGTTATGTCCATAGCACTGCTCGTGTCTATAGGCGACGGTTACCACTTTCCATCAGGTGGGCCGTCAGCTTGCTTGCCATTCTAAGTTGTATAAAAAAAATGCATCAGCGATGTTGATTGTCCTTGTATTCGTTAGGAATGGTGGGAGGTCACAATTTTTTGCTATTATAAAAAAATCGAGCAAGAATAGGGACCGTCCTATACTAACGTATGTTGACCAAATAGGCGACGTGCTGAAGAAGGGCCAGAATAAAAGTACTCGCAACCTCGCAGCGTGTATGAAAAGATTCATGAATGTGGTGGAAGCGAAAGAGATTTTATTGAAAGCATTTGGCGTTACATTGTTTCTACCTACAATAATGGGAGACAGGCGTGACAGATATGTAATATGTCTCCCATTATAGTAAGTATAAAAAATACCAAGTGGCAATTTACGGCATATATTTCACTCTGCCTTTACGACATGACCCTTTCTGAAAGATAGATAAAATATTTCAATATGTAATAGTATAAATTAGTCGAGTGTATTATTATACACAGTCTATGTTTGAAATAAATGATTTGAAATAATACACTTATTATTTCCACTACATTATGTTTAAATGAGACGACCCTGAGATCACCAGCGACCCGTTAAAATGTTCGTAATACATGTTATTGCATGAGCTGTGTTTACTTCAATTTTGAATGGATAAACAAAATTGTCAGGAAGCTGGTCTCGATAGAACGTCAGCTTGTAACATAATACCTGATAAGGTAAATATCTTTATGCTATTAAAAAATAAATGAATTGGTAGGTAATGTGATGGGAAGTGCATGGTAACTGGTGACCGTATAGACATAAATATATTGTTTCTCATGGCACTTTTCTAACACACCATGTATATCGCATAGCATTGAGATGATTTATCATATTTAATGTTTTCCTTAATTTATAAAGTTACGTTTAAATTCGATGGTTACTTGTTTTTCCCCAGTTCAGACATGAGCTTGTTTGGTATTCGGATTTGTATAAAAATAAAGCATAGGCTTTAAAAGCTTTTAAGTTAAAAGGTTGATAATGTACGAGACAGAAAATATAATAACCTATATTTTTTTTTGTATACAATTTAGAACGGCAAACAAGCTAACGGCCCACCTGATGGAAAGTGGTAATCGTCGCCTATAGACATGAGCAGTACCATAGACATAGCAGAGTATACTGTTTCGCCCATGATACTCCCCATGCGTTGCCATTCCTGAGGGCTCAGGTGTTATTCCTCTGTACCCTGTCACGCTATATTCCACCCTTCAAACCGAAACACAGCCATGCAAACAAAATTGTTTCACGGTAGAAATACGAATGGGACAGAGGTACCCAAGCAGTCGACTTTTGTAGAAAGTCTCCCTCTGGTAAACCTGTATGTTAAAGCGAGAGATAATAATACCAGGATAATAATTTGCACAATATAAGCTCGAAGTTGCTTTGGCGAGAGTATGAATAAAATAATTTACTAATTATTTTTACGTATTGAATTGAAATTATTTTTTTATTAATGGAATTTGCATTGAGTGTGCAATAACTGAATGTAATATAAATAATAGAAAAAAGCACTTATAATTTCATCTTATACGAGTAAAAATGCTTGAAATATTTCACTTATTTAAATGCAATATTTAGAACCATAACAAATACGAGGGTATAGTATTCCACTATACCCTCGTTCTCGGTTTGACAATGAAAGACTAAGATTTTCAGTAAAATGTTTTTTTTTTGTTTTTCTACATAATCTCCCTTGACACTTGACCCAGCATTTCTCTAACATCAGTATTCCTTTCCAAAATTTTTTCAAACAAGCTGATGACCCACCTTTTGGTAAATGGTAACCACAAGCTGTAGATATGAACAGTACCGTGGACGTAACAGAGTAAATTATTTTATTGTTAAAAGTTTCACAAGCACATATTATACATACAATTTACTTGTAATTAGAACGAAAAAACTCGACTAGTTTCGGAATCAATTCGTGATCCTTAGTCAAGAGCGACTGTGACGTGTGACTGTTTCTCGGCCGGCTGTACTAGTCGAGCTTTTTCGATCTAATTACACGCAAGTTAAACCGGTTGTTATTACATTTCTTTTTGATGGGTGAAAATGGGATACGCTGGCGGAGCACCAGTGAAGGATGATAGATGAGAATGAAAACAGGTCAGTTAGCCCATCATGATGGATTCATCAGGAATTAACCATGATAGTTTCTAGGGAGAACCGCGAGGAGGATCGACCTGGTTGGGTATATTGCTAGCAATAGGATTCTCAGTCTCCATTACTAACAATCCCTTTCCCCCGTTGTTATTACATTAGAGTATACTATGTCGCCCGTGATATCCTTCGTACGTTGCCATTCCTAAAGCCTTGTAATTTTACCACTATATCTCGCAAATTCCCCCATTCAAACCGAAATATAGCCACGCTAATACAACTACTTCACGGCAGTAGTACGAATGGCACATAAGTGCCTAAGCAGACGAAAAAAAAAATTAAATATGAAAATATAAAACTTTAGTTTTTAATTGGCAATAACATTAACCGTTGTAAAACCAGTTATTTTGTTTCAAAAACCAGATTACTGGAACGATTATAAAAAATGATATTACCAAATTGGTTTACACAAATAATGGCGTTCTAAGGTAACAAACATAAAAAATACAACTTATTTGAGAGCTTCCCCTATTTTTAAAGTCGGTTAAACATATATATATATATATATATATATATATATATATATATATATATATACATACATATATATACATATACATATATATATATACATGTGTATGTTACGTTTTAAAAATTATTTTATTATTGTTATTTCAGCCGTTAACTGTCCACTGCTGGACATAAGCCTTCCCCATAAGAGGAGTTTTGCCAGAAGTTGCCACGCTTGGCAGGCGGGTTGGTAACCGCAGTTAGGTTTTTAGAGATGTTTTAAGTGGGACGCTGCTGCCCATCCCTCGCCTTCCCTTAGTCGCTTCTTACGACACCTACGGGAAAGGAAGGGGTGGTCCATTCTATACCGGGGCACACACGGCAAAGTTATTTTAAGTTTCGATTTACAATCGTGTATAGAATTGACACGATTTACGTAACATGTAACGATAGAATATGCACGATGCAGCACTGTTCCATGCCCAAAGTTCAATGCATTTGCATTTCACGTACACCAGTGTAATCAAATCGCATTTTCGTCTCGTTTTTGTGATTACATTGCTAGTCTGTCAATACGTAGTAATAAGACGTATAATATTTTCTAAATTTTAGAATACAAAATGGCGGTCGTGCAACAGTTTCCAATACAAAAGGAATACGAAAAAAACCCAGACATATCCCGTGAGGATATTAAGAAGCTCAGGGAATGGCTGAACACGCAACCTCACCTGCCTGGAGATAAATTGAGTGGTATGTATTATATATGTATGTATGGATTTTATATTAGAAAAATATTTCGGATACTCCCTTTGGAATCTCTGGGAAAAGAAAATCATAATATTTTTCAATTATTTCTTTAGAGGTAGGAAAGGGATTGTTAGTAATGGAGACTGAGAATCCCATTACTAGCAATATACCCAACTAGGTCGACCTCCTCGCGGTTCCCCCTGGAAACTATCATGATTAATTCCAGATGAATTCATCATGATGGGCTAACTGGTCTGTTTTCATCCTCATCGATCACCCTTCACTGGTGCCCCGCCAGCGTATCCCCTTAGCGCAGGCGGGGTTACCATTCCATTTTCATCCATTAAAAAAAAACCGTTAAAAGGTAACAAACAAACACACTTTCATATTTATAGTATTTGTAGGGATACTCCTTTCTTGTCTATACTACTTCAGCAGCATACTCTTATGGTAATACATACCATAAGTATTAAGGTAGATTCCACCCAAACGGCTCACATCAGATCGGAATGAATGCGATCGGATACGGTGACAGGCGAACGGAGCCAATCGCGCGTCGCAGCATACTTTCAGCTACGACCGTGTGTCGCGGAAGATGTCTACGGTCAAGCTGCTGTGCTTGCATGGTAATATAAACTTTAAATACTGTGTACACGATTTAATATCGTTTAAAGATTGACAAATCCGTTTCGATCCGATCGGATGCGAGTCGTTTGGTGGAACCATTCTTGAAATTGCTAGTTGACTATAAATAATAGATATGACGCAGTGAGGAAGTGTTAACAATGTTCTAGCTGTGTCATGATAGAAAATTATAGACATTTACAATTGCAGACTGAAAAAAAAAGTTAAGGATAATGAAGACAATGGCGGACAGTTCTTTGTATTGTTAACAAGTTGACTGATTGAAGATTATATTGAAATAATTGCGATGCAACCTCTTACCGCCAGGGTGGTATCAATTTTTTTGTTTTTTAATGGGTGAAAATGATATGGTAACCCCGCCTGCGCTAACGGGATACGCTGGCGGAGCACCAGTGATATATGAGAATGAAAACAGGCCGGTTAGCCCATCATGATGAATTCATCAGGAATTAACTATGATAGTTTCCAGGGGAAACCGCGAGGAGGTCGACCTGGTTGGGTATATTGCTAGCAATGGGGTTCTCAGTCTCCTATAGACATGAGCAGTACCATGTACTGAGGACTCAGGTGTTATTCCTCTGTACCCAGTAAATTCACGCCACGCCCTTTTAAACCGAACCACAGCTATGCAAACACAACTGCTTCACGGTTGAAACACGAATGGGACAGAGGTGAATTGTATATAGTTATTTAATTTTTCATTGTAATTGTTATTCAGACTAATTATTATTAACATATTTCAATGTCACATTGCTAATATGTAAAAATGTTGTTTGTTTGTGATTTTGCACTTGTATAGACTTAACATTTTACTATATACAACACAATATATTAATGTTATCGAATAAATTGAATTTAATTTAATTTACATCGGATATTTTAACATTCGTAAAGATAATCAAAACCTATAGGGTACTTCCCGTTGACCTAGAATCATGGAATTTGGTAAGATGCAATGTCATGTAGCACAAGTAAAGGAAAAAATCCGAAAACTATAAATTTGTAGGTATTTCGCAAAAAAAGAAAATTAAACTTGACGATATTGTATGGAACCCTCGTTGCGCGAATCTAACTCGGAATTGACTGGTTTTTTTTTTCTAATTTAACTTCTATAGTAATAAAGTTTTAGCAGTTTGGTTTTTATTCATTATTAACCAAATATAATATACTAGCGACCAGCCCCGGCTTCGCACGGGTGCAATATCGCACCCGCTATGTCCCTGCATTTTAAATCTGTAATATCTTCGGAAATATTCATTTAAATTACATGCTGTAAAGGGTCATATTAATCTATATTAAATGAATAATGTATTTAAGGTATTTAATTGGATAAAAATTTATGCTGTATTGCTTAAAATCACTTCGTAAACAGGCCAATTTTTTCCCGTAAAATGTAAAGGATAAAAAATGGTTATTGTGGGTTATCCTTAAGAGATAGACATATACCATCGCGGACTTTTTTATTGATCTTTTTTAAGGTGTACAATACTGTAGTACATTATTTTGATTTATCTCGTGGGGTTCAGCCAGTGTTTGCAATGTAAGCGCAAAAAATGTGTTTATTTACGACATCACATTAGAAATCTCAAAAATCAGTGTTTCTCTACAATATTATGCATGTATTATACATATAAACCTTCTTCTTGATTCACTCTATCTATAAAAAGAAACTGCATCAAAATCCGTTGTGTAGTTTTAAAGATTTAAGCATACATAGGGACGGACAGACAGCGACAGCGACTTTGTTTTATACTATGTAGTGTATAAATTAAAACATGAAATAAGAAATTGCATTGCAATCGATATATTGGCTTAGGAGTTCCAGGGATGCTACAGACAGACATACAAATAAAGGTTAAAACTTAAACACATTTAGGTGCTAAATACTGACTTGAGAAGTCTTAAGACATTGCAAGTAATGAAGTATAATGGCGGATACTTTGATATAATTATTTCCTTGTAAAGTGTACATGTCTTTTAATGCATGTACCTATTAATATATCTTCTGAGCGTGGCTTTGACATTTATTATCACCATTTATTATATACGTCGAATAATTTTAATATATTTCTTATTAAAACTGATTAAAGCTCATTATATAATTATTTTATTATTATTAAGTATGTTTTTTTTTATTGGATGAAAATGGTATGGTGCCCGCCTGCGCTAACGGGATACGCTGGCGGAGCACCAGTGGAGGGTGATAGATGAGAATGAAAACAGGCCAGTTAGCCCATCATGATGAATTCATCGGGAATTAATCATGATAGTTTCCAGGGGGAACCGCGAGGAGGTCGACCTGGTTGGGTATATTGCTAGGAATGGGATTCTCAGTCTCCATTACTAACAATCCCTTTCCCTCCTATTAAGTATGTTGGAATGGTGAAAAGCTGAAGTGGCAATGGGCTGGTCACATAGCTCGAAGAACCGACAACCGATAGGGTCTTCCCTATCGGTTGTCGGTTCTTCGAGCTAAGGTTCTTGAGTGGCGACCGCTTACGGGTAAACGCAGTGTAGGACGACCCCCCCAACTAGATAGAGTGACGACCTGAAATGAACCTGAAATACAATGATTTTTTACGCATTAAAAATAGAATTAAATATAGAAGTTATAAAGGAATCACTCATAACTATTTATTTATCACGAAAAATTGTATGAAAAAGTTGAGCCGTTTTTTCTCGAAGCATTTGTTTGGAGACACTCTATCTACATAATCTAAGGAGGGATGATAAGTAAGAATGAAGTCAGGCCAGTCAATTTATTGTGATTCACGATCAACTGCAGTCCATTGCTGGACATGAGCCTCTCTCAAGGGCACGCCACTCTCCTCATCGTCTTTCCATCTCCAGTTTTTATCAGTACTGTTCATGTCTATAGTTGACGGTTACTACATTCAATCAGGTGGATTACCAGAGGGAGATTTTGTACAAAAGTCGCTTACTTAGGCATTTTTGTCCCATATCGTGTTTCTACCGTGACGCAGTTGTGTTTGCATGGCTGTGTTTCGCTTTGAAGGGTGGGATATGGCAGTAAAACAGGGTACAGTCCTCTGTACCCTGTTTTACTGAGGACTCGGGTATTATTCCTATAATACCTGAGTCCGCAGGAAGGGCAACGCATAAAGGTATTATGGGCGAAACTGTATACTCTGTTATGTCTATGGTACTGCTCATGTCTATAGGCGACGGTTACCACTTTCCATCAGGTGGGTTGACAGCTTGTTTGCCGTTCTAAGTTGGATAGAAATAAAGGTGGGCTTTTAGCTTGTTTTAATCATTCTAAATTGTGTTAAAGGAGCCTTAATTTATTAGAAATAATTCACAATTTATGTTCTAAAGAATGTGTTACTCTCAGATCTGGATCTGCTGATTGTGTTCCACTGCTGTGATAAAAGTCAGGAGGTATCCAAGCAAGTGCTAGATCTTCATTACACTCTCAGAACTTTGTTTACTACTTACTTCGAGGACAGACGAGTGGACAAAAAGGTCGAGTTCACTGTGGATAAACTGTAAGTGTTTTAATTTATAAAGAATTTCGTTTTATAAGGTACATTTTATATTAAAGAAAATTGAATTCAATTTCATTTCGAATAACGTCTTTTTTTATTTGTTACACTTCTTGCTCCAAATGGCTACCGTCGCTTTCATTTGCTCCACTATCCAAAGGTTGTCTCTGTGTTACAATTTTTAGGAAGTAAATCCGTAGCTTATATATATATATATATATATATATATATATATATATATATATATATATATATATATATATATTTAAAGGGTGATAATAGAATGGTAGCCCTACCCGCGCTATCGGTATACACTGGCAGGGCACCAGTGAGGAATGATAGGTGAGGATGAAGCAGGTCAGTTAGCCCATCGTGACGAATTCAACAAGAATTGTTCGTGATGGTTTCCATGGGGAATCACGTAATAGGGACCTAATAGTGCTTATTGCTAGCAATGGGGCTGTCAAACTCCATTGCTAACAATCTCTTCTCCCCCGTAGTTTATATTTAAATTATATTTTCAGTTTGTTTGCCGCTCTACCTACACCGACAGCCGAAGGATACCGAGCTGTGTACATGAGAGTTTTGGACCCGGATCCACGCAGTTTCATATTCTGCGATGCAGTTAGAGTATTCATGATGATGGTAGACCTTTGGCAGTACGAGGAAGGAACTTGGCCGGGGTAAGTTCATGTTTTAATACCAAACGAAAGTGTCAAACAAGTAGATATAAAGCCCGTCTGATGGTAAACGGTCACTATAGACTGGTAACCTGTAACACTAGGGGCTAAATAAAGGAATATGTTTTTTTCTCGAAGGTTATGATTATAATGTTATTTTTAAAGAATTCCTGGTGAATTTATTAGTAATTAACTACCATAGTTTTAAGGGGGAATCGCTGAAGTTCGAACTGACATTTGACTGAACGTTTTTCTCTACGGTACATTTTAATGTAATAACTACCGGTTTAGTTTATGTGTGTACTAGTTTCGGGATCAATTCGTGACCTTTAATCATCAGCGACTGTACCGCAGACGCGAGTCTAATACTAGTCGAGCTTTCTCGAACTAATTACACATAAGTTATTACATTAAAATATAATGTGTGCTTACAAAACTTATAACAGTGAAACTACAGTATATTGCTTGCGTAACAATTTGTTTGTTTTGGTTGCAGCTTCATTATGATGATAGACATGGACCAGACAGTCATAGGCCACCTGGCGAGGTTGGACCTCATGACAATTCGTCAAGTCTTGTACTTCTTGCAAGTGAGTTATTATAATACAATTAGCTGACTCGGAAACGTTAAAAACAAGGAATTAACCACAACGTTTTTCATTAGTGACCATCCGCCCCCTCCTTTATTTAAAATTATATTTTTTTGTGGATAAAAGTTTTATATGTATTTCTGAATGAAGTGTGCAAGCTATGTGAGTATATTCTATAAAAATTAACTAGAGTTTTAATTTAAACAATTTATCTTCTTCGCCCCAGGAAGCGATGTTGGTTAGGTTAAAAGGCGTCCATTTCCTCAACGCCCCTTCGTTCATGGACAAACTGATGATGATGCTGAAGCCTTTCATGAACAAGACCCTGATGGATATGATCTATATCCACCAGATCGGCTCGGATACGCTGTACGAACACGTGCCGAAAGAGGCATTTCCTAAGAACAATGGGGGAACTTACAAGGACTATGATACTATAAAAGGTAATAAATTATTTGTTTTCACGCCAAGTCTCTTTTGAGGTAAGTAGAGATGTCTGAATATTGGAATACTCCATTCTTATATACATCTCTTACGTGATGCATTTTTATGAATCGTCTGCGCATATTGGTTTTGGAGACTTGACTTCTTCCTCCTTCAAGAAGTAATTGGCTGGGTACTAAGATACCAGCTTTATCTCTGTAGATTAGAAATAAAAGATAGTACACCAGAAACCTCAGCCCTTATCTTGTGCTTGTATGTTCTAAAAACTCGAAGGAAAACAGCAAGTCACTTGAAATTCTGCGCAATCTCCGTTTAGTAAATGTTTAATACTTTTTTTTAATGAATGATAATGGAATGGTAACCCTTCTGCGTTTACAGTATATGCTGGGGAGCACCAGTGAGGTACCCGCCAGCAGATGATAGGTGAGAATGAAAAGGCGGGTCAGTTAGCCCATCTTAATGAATACAACACGATGGTTTCCAAGGGGGACCACGTGAAGATGGACCTGACAGGGTATATTGCTAGCAAAAGGACTGGTAGCCCGCTTTACTAACAATCCCTTACCCCCAGTACTTAATTGTTATTTATCACTTATATCATTCAGACGAGCTGCTGAAACGCTTCAAAGCAAACCAGAAATTCTTCGACGAGGAAAGTCTCCGGAGAGTGAACCAGAACCTCAGACCCAGCGGGAAGAAGACCACGGTGGAGAACTTATTCGGTATACAGGGCAGCTTCAAGAAATTAGACATCGATTAAACTACTGTCTAATAATTGTAATAAATAAATCAATTTCTGGTTGTATTATTTTTATTGTTTACTTCAATTTTTTTTATGGGTGAAAATGGTATGGTAAAGCCGCCTGCGCTAAGGGGATACGCTGGCGGAGCACCAGTGAAGGGTGATAGATGAGAACGAAAAACAGGCCAGTTAGCCCATCATGATGAATTCATCAGGAATTAATCATGATAGTTTCCAGGGGGAACCGCGAGGAGGTCGACCTGGTTGGGTATATTGCTAGCAATGGGATTCTCAGTCTCCATTACTAACAATCCCTTTCCCCTCTGTTTACTTCAATTAGGTATATATACATATACATCCATCACGCCAGCCTCCATTGGGGTAAACTTTACCAGAGGGAGACTTTGTACAAAAGTCGATTGCTTGGGTACCTCTGTCCCATTCGTGTTTCAACCGTGAAGCAGCTGTGTTTGCATGACTGTGTTTCGGTTTGAAAGGTGGGATATGGCGTGAATTTACTGGGTACAGAGGAATAACATCTGAGTCCTCGGGAATGGCAACGCATGGGGGGTATCATGGGCGAAACAGTATACTCTGTTATGTCCATGGTACTGCTCATGTCTATAGACGACGGTTACCACTTTTTATCAGGTAGGCCGTCAGCTTGTTTGCCATTCTAAGTTGTATAAAAAAAAAAACTGAAACAATGGAACGCCAAATGCTAAGTTACTGACTGACCTCTTTTGCTTCTTCCATATTCATCAATCTATTCATACACATTCGCTGGTTACGGACACTTTAATGCCACTATTATATAGCCACTATTACGGGCATTATTATTTGGTCAATATTCGTCCTTCTAGAGTGACTTCCACCGACGTCTCCATTAAATCATGCTCGATATATCTCTTTCATTCATCCTCTCCAAATGGCCAAACCAATGTAACATCCTAAACTCTAAATTCTTTTTACCAGAGGGAGACTTTGTACAAAAGTCGATTGCTTGGGTACCCTGTCCCATTCGTGTTTCAACCGGGAAGCAGTTGTGTTTGCATGGCTGTGTTTCGGTTTGAAGGGTGGGATATGGCGTGAAATTACTGGGTACAGAGGAATAACACGTGAGTCCTCAGGAATGGCAACGTATGGGGCGTATCATGGGCGAAACAGTATACTCTGTTATGTCCATGCTACTGCTCATGTCTATAGGCGACGGTTACCACTTTCCATCAGGTGGACCGTCAGCTTGTTTGCCCTTCTAAGTTGTATAAAAAAAAGGCATTCAGTGGTTTTTAAATAGAGTAGAAATTTAGTCCTGGCATAGAATAGGCCACCCCTTCCTTTCTCGTGGGTGTCGTAAGAGGCGATCAGGGGAACTTAATGTCCCTCTTAAAACATCGCTAAAACGTAACTGCGGCTGCCAACTTGCCTGCCAAGCGTGGCAACTGCTAACCCAACCTCGGGCGTATGCTCAGCAGTGGACAATTAGCGGCTGGTAATAATAAGATATAATAATAATAATAATTAAATTTATAATTAATCTTTGTATATATATATATATATATATATATATATATATATATATATATATATATATATATATATATATATATTGGTTTTATATTTATGTTGGTTTTGTGTGCCTCATTTTATAAACCAATATATGGTTTCTCAGACTCGGTCCCGCTTACGAATCGTGGCCCGTCCAATATACGATATGAAATTGATATAACTTGTAATGTAAATTTGTCTTTGTTAACTAAATTATCTTGTTTGAAGGTAAACAGGGAAACAGGTATCTGTCGGCACATACAATATAAGAGTGTCGTAGTATTTTAATAATATAATAAAATTGTAACTGAACGATGTCTGTACGTGGATGATATTAAAAAAAAAATATGAAGGAAAATTTTAATAGGAGCAGTGGAAGCTAAAACAAGAATGTTCAATCGACTTCAAAAATAAGAAGTTTCTTAACTCGGTCGTATTTATTTCTTTTTTGTTTGTTTGTTACCTCATAACTCCGTCGGTTCTAAACCGATTTGGATTTTTTAACTGAAAAAAAATTCTTATAAATTATACTCGTAGAAATTTTATCAAAATTGATACCTTTATTTAGTTTTTAGATCAAAATAAATGTGAGCATTTTTTTGATAATCTTCTTGAAGATAAATCAAAATTGCCGTACTGGTCAGATACTTGCGGGCAGCGGCCGGCAAAAGTTGTATGAAAATCCATATCTGTCGTGTTTTGCGGCCAGATTATGCGGCTATGTAAATTCATATCTGTCCTGTAATTTAAAAATAGAATGATCTTTTACTCCGAAACATGGCTACCAAGGAGGTAACTAATACAAGGTTTTATTTAAATTTCGAACTGGCTTGCAAATAGAACGCTGTTTATTGAAAAAAAAAAAAAAAACAAAGGAACATTATGGCGCGTGAAAAGTTATTATTTTGTTCGTAATTCGTCATTGAATTTAAAAAGTAAAATTGTGTTTTTGATTTCCGCGCATTGTTTGAGAAAAGTACTATACAAGCCTTGGCCACAACTAGGCATTGATGGACTCACGTATGTGTGCCTCGGCCCACATTTGAACGTTCGTCCTTTAATGCCTCAGTTGCTGGCCGTTGCAGTAACTATTTTTCCCGTCAAAAGAACCCAATATATAAATATTGAAGCCCAATAGAACCCATGTATATTAAAAATGGCAAACAAGTTGACGGCCCACTTGATGGAAAGTGGTAACTTGTAAACATTAACAGCATTGTAGAGGTCATAGAGAATACACCGTGATACCTACTTGTAATACCCCTAATGTGTTGCTATTGCTGAGAAATCCTTGGAAGAAATTCTGTATTCTTTTGGAAGTATCTCGCTTTCTCGTAGACAATGCTGCGAATAGGGGGGGAAAGGGATTGTTAGTAATGGAGACTGAGAATCCTATTGCTAGCAATATACTCAACCAGGTCGACTTCCTCGCGGTTCTCCCTGGAAACTATCATGGTTAATTCCTAATGAATTCATCATGATGGGCTAACTGGCCTGTTTTAATTCTCATCTATCACCCTTCACTGGTGCTCCGCCAGCGTATCCCGTTAGCGCAGGCGTGGCTACCATACCATTTTCACCCATCAAAAAAAAAGTGAAGCGAGTAATGATCATTATCGTTCACCATTTCAGCCGTTATCTGCCCACAGTTCGACATAAGCCTTCCCCATAAGGGGAGTTTTGGCGGGTTGGCATTTGCAGTTAGGCCTTTGAAGATATTTCAAGAGGGACGCTGCTGCCCATCTTTCGACCTTAAGTTCTCTTAGTCGTCTCTTACGACACCCACGGGAAAGGAAGGGGTGGCCTATTCTATGTCGGTACTTATAAGACTGCGAGCAATGGTTGTTTTGAAAAAATTTTATGTTATTATCAAATTTATTCTTGTATGCAAATATTATGTGTAATATTTAAATAACATACAAATTTTGAACGCGTGAAGCCTAATGATTTACGTGTAATTTATTCAAATGCCTGTTATTAGGCTTGTTGTCGGGTAAAGTTAGGGTGGATGCCACACTAAGCGATCCAGTATTGCATTTTTCTTTTATTTATTAATAATTCAATAGTTGTGTGGACATAAAATTAAACATATAAGCAAACTAGCTTTTTTTTTATACAACTTAGAATGGCAAACAAGTTAATGGCCCACCTGATGGAAAGTGGTAACCGTCGCCTATAGACATGAACAGTGCCATGGACATAACAGAGTATACTGTTTCTCAGGTGTTATTCCTCTGTACCCAGTAAATTCACGCCATATCCCACCCTTCAAACCGAACACTTCTTCTAAACACATGTAAATAGCGTTCCTATTTCTTAAAAACTTTATTCCCTTTGATTTTTTTCTCACTTTCTCTTTAATCTTGCTGGTTACTTTGTGAGTCATAGATTGTTTTATTTGCTCTTCTAATACAGTTAATTGTTTGTGACAATAATATTTATGTATATATTTCTTTATTTAAATGCTACTAGCATTAAGTCCGCCTTTTGTACCTTATTTTATTTTGGTCAATAAAGTTATTTAAATAAAAAAAATAAACCGAACTAAAAACCTCTTTTTTTTTATGGCGGCTGAAAATTAATCGGTTTCATTAGTTAAACCCGTATTGACGAGAGGACTAGATTATAAGTTAACATATTAACATAGTTTTAAAGTACTTACTAACAAAAATGAACCCAAGTTGTCTGAAATAAATAAATAAATTTAAACGCTGGGCTAAAAGGATAAAAGGATACTAATAATTTTGATAACATCCTCTATAATGTACAGAAATATATGTAAGTATAATAAATATTTCAGCCATAATTATGGTGTTCAACGTACCATCTGCTATGGTGTCAATTGTTGTATTTCCTGTGCTTATCGTATATAATGTGGGGCGTGCTTCATATTTCTCAGTTAGAACCGGAGTAAATCTAACATGAAGGTTTTGGCGTTCATCATGGCCATTATGGCCATAATTTTTGCTGTTGTGGTAAGATTTTTCTATATATATTTTTAGCTTGATCGCTTACAGGACAGAAGAGAATGGAAAGACTGCTATTTTTTAAACTAAGAGGAAAGACAATCCATTTATTGTGGCTCCGTAATTCAGGAACACATCTATTATCATCTCTAAATGTATTGGGATCCTCGGTGGCGACATCTACAGCATTGTAGAGTTCAGGAGTCATCTAGAAGACAGGGTCAAGCTGGCGACCAAAAAGCTCGGGGTGCTTAATAGAGCTAAACGATACTTTACCCCAAGACAAAGACTTTTTCATGGAGTACTTCTATCATTTGTGGGCTGGAACACCTGGATACCAGCTTGGTCCTCTTAACTGGGTTCAGAGATAGGCTATGAGAATTGTCTATGATCCCAAGCTCACAGGCGGTACCGAGCCCTTATGTTTAAGGCGAGAATTTGCCTTCCTTTCGCTTGTATAACGGATTATGTTCTGAAGAATGGTTTGAAATGATGCCTACAGTTACTTTTTATCATCGCACCGCTCGCCATCGATAGGAAATTCATCCTCACACGCTTGAACCTAAATGGTCACGTACAGTGCGGTTTAAAAGGATTTTTTTTCCGGGTATGCTCCGGCTGTGGAATAAGGTTTTCCCTGTTTCCGAGGTTTTCCCTCTACACTGCAGTATGGGATTCTTCAAAAACAGTATATTAAATATTTCTTTAGAGTTGGTAACGGGTACGTGACCCTCCTTGTGTTGCAAGTGTCCATAGAATACAGTGACCCTTTACCATCAGTGTCTCTTTTAAGATATCACCAAAGCCTAAGTGTGATTGCTAACTCGCCTGCTAAGCGTGGCAACTACTGGCAAAATCCCTCTTAAGAGGAGGCCTATCTTCAACAGTATGATATGATGATGATTTGGTAAATGCCTTTTTTCACAGAGTGGCATGTCAGTGAGACAGAAGCCTGCTGCACTGAGTGAAGGAGTGGAGCCGGCTGGGTGCCACGGCGGTGGTCGTCCTCAGTCCCCACCAGCAACATCTGCCCCGCCGGCGGCTCCACCAGCGGCTCCTCCGGCAACTAGTAAGGCCACCTTTCATTTGTCTCTCATCACTTTTGGTATAAAAGGAATCTAAGTCATTACAGGCTACTCCTTCCTTTCCCGTGGGTGTCGTAAGAAGCGACTAAAGGAGGGCGAGAGATAGGCAGCAGCGTCTCTCCCTGTAAAACATCTCCAAAGCCTAACTGCGGTTGCTAATACGCCTACCAAGTGTGGCAACTATTGGCAAAACCCCCCAAGGGGAAGGCTTGTGTGTAGCAGTGGACAGTTAAAGGCTAGTATGATGATGATGATTATATATACATAAAGTAGGTATTAGTGTCTGTTTACCTCAAAAACAAGTGTAAGCCAAAGGAGCTAATAACCACTACAAAATATCTAAGTTTAATTTATATTTAAGATCGTGTCATCATCGTCATCATCATTTCAGCCATTATCCGTCCACTGATGGACATAGGCCTCCCCCATAGACTTTTTTTTATACAACTTAGAATGGCAAACAAACTAACGGCCCACCTGATGGAAAGTGGTAACCGTCACCTATAGACATGAGCAGTAGCATGAACATAACAGAGTATACTGTTTCACCCATGACCCCCATGCGTTGTCATTCCTGAGGATTCAGGTGTTATTCCTCTGTACCCTGTAAATTCACGCCATATCCCATCCTTCAAACCAAAACACAGCCATGTAAACCTGATATAAGGAACGGTCCTAAGCCACCTGCATCCACTGACTCCCTGCAATGCATTTGAGGTCGTCTCTCTATCTAGTTGGGGCGGGGCGTCCTACACTGCGTTTGCCCGTACGGGGAGATTAAGATCGTGTATTTTACATTAATAATTGTGTTTTTTTTTTACAGACGGCACCGGCTAAGGAACTCGTGGACTACGGCTAAATACTTGAATCAGCTACTATTGAAGAATACAGATTTCGTTTGGGATCACACTCTTTTTTTTATTGTTTTGTGTTTCTATACGTTCATTAAAATTAAATATTTTTTCTATAAAAAAAAAAAACACCATAGCATATCCAGAAATGGTAAAATTTTAGCATTAAAAAATCCCGTCTAATTAAAAATTTGTTTCTTTACCAAATCTCTTAAGTACTAGTACATATTTGCATACAACGTGGTTTCAGAGATATTTGCTCCCAGACACGCTTAGGTTTTTTTTTAATGGATGATAATGGAATAGTTACACCGCCTGCTCTATCGGTATACACTGGGGGGGGGGGGGGGACGACGACGATGAAACAGATCCGTTAGCCTATCATAATTTAACAATAATTCAAACACGATGAATGGCAACGCATGGCAGGTATCATGGGCGAAACAGTATACTCTGTTATGTGCATGGTACTGCTCATGTCTATAGGCGACGGTTACCACTTTCCATCAGGTGGGCCGTCAGCTTGTTTGCCATTCTAAGTTGTATGAAACAAAAGTTATAATTACAAACGTCGCCTATTTACATGCACAGTACCGTGAACATCACATAATGATGTGTTTAAAATGTGTAAATATTGTTCAATGTACTTCAAAAAAGTTCTCCATTTTTGTTTTTGGTACTCAGTTGTTACCTCATAACTCCGTCAGTTATAAATCGATTTGAAAAAAAAAATCTGAAAGGATATAATTCAGATTTTTATTTATATTATTTTATTTATTAGGCGCACATAACAGTAGTTTACAAATACAAACTTAAATTATAACATGCAAGTAAGATTAATGCATTGTTCAGGTAAACTTGCCACGACATGTGCACACAGCGTGATCCAACAATAAATGCGACTGCAACAAAGCCATGCGGTTGCAACTATTAGTGAAAAGAAAATTAAACATAAAAAGAAACATAGAGAAAGTTAAATAAAAAACTTGGGTTTTGTAGAATTTTTTTCCAAAATCTATTCAGTATTTTAGTTTTTAAAATCAACATAACTGGTTCTATCAACGTTGAAGACTGTTTATTTTTGTAGAAACACAATTTTCGTTCGTGCCTATATTCTTATTGCAATATCCTTCATCCAGTCAAGTTTACTTCAAATAAAACAATATCTACGAAATGATAAAATATTTATTTTGTACAAATATTTAAAAACAATACAAAATACATTTTTTGATGACTTATATTTTTTATTTTATATATAAATGTAGAAAAATCAATCGTCACTAGACTAGGCTAAGGTCGAAAATGGCAAATTAGAGAGTATTAAACAGGAGTCTTATAGGTAAAATACAATTCTAATTTAATTTGCTAAACAATGTTTTAGGAAATACAAACAATGATGTAATTGAAATGCATGTATTTTTTTCAACGAAAATTTGTCTCTGGTGACCATAGATACAAAATACTATTATTTCATTGCTGTATTGGGTTGGAGAATGCAAGAACGGTTTGAATTTCGAATCCAATGTTGGCAACTTTTAGAAATTATAACAATAAACAGTACTTACGCCTGTAGGTAATTAAGAATGATTTTTTTTATTTAAAAATAAGTTATAATTTTAACAAAATAAAGTATCCATTATAAATATTCGTATATTATATTAAGTATTATTTTATCTAAGTACGCGGATTAGTTTTATCGTCACAATTTAATTTTAAATTTGGAAATCTTGGGAGGATCCAGACATGTGTCGTGTACAGCTATGTTTAATACATAGCTGTGTTACGGAAATATTTCAATACAAAATCTGGTTGGAAAGTGTGATTTTCTAGACATGGTGTTGTGGATAAATTATATTTATTGCAAAGGAAATATTTAAACCTATTTAATTACACGCAGTAAGTTTATCACGCACTTTATCACTTATATACGAGATCTAGCCATACAAGTAGAATTATTTCTAAATCTCCATCATTATATTAACGTTAAGAAATTAAAGATGGCGGCAAACCGCGCCAAAATGGCCATATGCAATAGAACGTTCCAGAAAAGGAATTTTAAAATAACAAATTCTGGACTTTGATTGGCAATTTCTTTGGAGTGTAATTCTACTTTCTAGTTCTAATGTCCCAATTCTTGCAGGTGTTGTTTCTCCTCTTCCTCCCGCTGCAGCGCTTCCCGTTCAGCTGCAATTCTGGCGTGTTGTTCAGCTATCACTTTGAAGAGCTGCGCGTGTTTCGCTGATGCTAGCGCTACAGCGGCTGACTGGCGGGGTATCGAATCAACTGCAAGGGAATGGTAGAAACTCAGTAAAAAGATTTACCATCTTTTTATCATGTTTAGATGGAGTACATAAAAATGTGAATGGATGATGTACAATCTGTGCTATGTATTTTAGAGAGAAATATTTATTTAAACGTGTTTTAAAACCTTACTGGACATATGGTTGATGTAATAGTATAGGCTTAGATTACATAGATAGAGTGTCTCCATGCAAATGCTTCAAAAAAAGCGGGTCAACTTTTTCATACAATTTCGCGTGATAAATAGTTATGGATGATACCTTTATAACTTCTATATTTATGTTGTCTTATAAATTCTGCACATTTTTAATGCGTAAATACTAATTTTATTTATTAAATTATAATTAAATCCAGATACATTTTATGCGTAAGTATAATATATAGAACACTGATAAAAAAAACGGGTCAGCTAATTTGACAAATAGCTGACAAAAAGTTGACCCGTTTTTGAGGCTCGATGCTCTATCTATATAATATAAGAGTGTAGGCTATCATAATAAGTAAGCTTTCTTCTATATAATATGATGATGCTATCTCCGTTAAGATTTCTGTAAATTTTCCTAATGACAACATGTAATTAGGAATAGAACCCTCGTAGAACGAGTTCTAATCGCACTTGGCCAATTTTATTATTATTCCAAAGACCATGAGTAAATAAATTCTATATTCAATTTAATTATTCAAACAATAATACTTCCCACTAGAAATAATTACAGAGTAGATTGACACACGAGTTTAGTAAACGTACAAGTAATTGTACCAAGCTGTATACAGTATAATTATGTACAACAAGTAGATTGTGTTCCACAAATAAAAAAAAAACTTTGAATTCAATTGTGGCAAATACTAGTTGTTTTTATTTAAAAAAACAAACTAGAAACTATAGAGGGAAACTTTGTACAAAAGTCGTTTGCTTGGACACCTCTGTCCTATTCGTGTTTCTACCGTGAAGCAGTTGTGCTTGCATGGTTGTGTTTCGGTTTGAAGGGTGGGATATGGCAGTGAATTTACAGGGTACAGAGGAATAATACCTGAGTCCTCAGAAATGGCAACACATGGGGGGTATTATGGGCGAAACAGTAAAATCTGTTATATCCATGGTACTGCTCATGTCTATAGGCGACGGTTGTCGGTGTCGGTTGTTGAAGCAAATGTCTTGTGTACAATGTCTCCCTCTGGTAACTAACTTGCAGAACATCGTATACCTGACGGATGCGGTTGTTGTGCGTGATCTTCTGCTATTTTAGCATACAGCCGGTAGTGCTTGTCCTTAGCTCGTGCCACAGACTCGGAGTCGGCCGGGTGCTCTGGGGGAGCGTCGCTCAGGATCGGGTGGAAGCCTTCCTTATCAGCAATGTAGTCGACCGTGCGCACCTTCTGGCGTGGATCCACGTACGAGAATGAACCTGAAAGTAATAAAAACAGTTTAAAAATTTCGATGTCAGTAGAATTTTTTTTTTATACAACTTAGAATGGCAAACAAGCTGACTGCCCACCTGATGGAAAGTGGTAACCGTCGCCTATAGACATGAGCAGTACCATGGATAGATGGAGAATAGAACAGAAATTATCTTTATTCAAATATATATATGTACTTGTTTATAAATTCTTTTGAATTGTCGCTTTTTTGTGATTTTACGATTTTTGAATAAAGAACTTTGAAGAAACTAAGCAATGACGCTTGACAATTTACTTTACAGGTATGTAATGCACAAGTATGGAACAAAAGACCTACCATGATATGTTTTTCGAAATTTCGGGGTCAAAGGAAACACAAATTTACTGTTAAAATTACTGTATATATCATCATAATAGCTCTTAACTGTCCACTGCTGAATATAAACTTCCCCCTGGGGGGGTCTTGCTAGTAGATTAGATTTTGCAACCGCAGTCAGGCTTTAGAGATGTCTTAAGAGGGATGCTGCTGTCTATCCCTCGCCCTCCCTTAGTCGACTTATACGATACTAACGGGAAAGAAAGGGTGTCCTATTCTACGCGGGGATCACACGGCCTATATATAATGTTCTTAAGTTTTTTTTTTAATGTGATAATGGAATGGTAACCCCGCTTGCGCTATCGGTATACGCGGCGAGGCACTAATGACAGTTGACAGGTGACGATGAAAATATTATATAGATTAACCACGATGGTTTCCAGGGGGACCCCGTGGAGGTCGACCTGAACAATGGGTCAATTAGACTAAATAATTAACAATCTCTTTCCCCCAGTGTACTTGAGTTTATTTATTAGAAGAAAAAAAAGCATGCCCCTTAAAAATGTGCGTATGTGTGTATGTATCAGACATATCTTTACACATAGCTGAAAGCTCCACATGTATTGGCTAGCACTAGGCAATTCTGGGTTGAGCGTAATCCACCCGGTTCTAAATACTCTTTTATTTTTCAGGTTTTACAAAATTATTTGTCAAAAAATTGTATAGCCTATTTTGAAATGATTATATGGATGACACTTACCTCTGATCACTCCACTGCCATCGCTAACTTCAGTGTGCTGCCTATCCGCATGGCCGGGGTACCTGCCAGCTGTGTAGGAGAACACGTAGGGCTTCGGCGGCGGCGGCTCCGTGCTATGGTCCTCTGGATGCTGCAGGTGGGAGACGTCGCAGCTGGATAGCACTACACTGGTCAAGATGAGCAGCGCGTGACACAGCATCTGCAATTTATTATAAGTAAATAAATATCATTGAATATGACACAGTGCCCTCTAGTGCTAAACTAAGCAGATCTTGTTTTATGGCGTGAATTTACTAGGTACAGAGGAATAACACCTGAGTTTTCAGGAATGGCAACGCATGGTAGATATCATGGGCGAAACAGTATACTCTGTTATGTCCATGGTACTGCTCATGTCTATAGGCGACGGTTACCACTTTCTATCAGGTGGACCGTCAGCTTGTTTGCCATTCTAAGTTGTGTAAAAAAATTCTTCCTTTTGAAGTAATTTGAAAACTTAGGTATATGTTAGTTTTAAAAATTTAAATTTAAACAAATTTATATTACAATAGTTTAAATCTGAAAGTGATCTTATTATGTTTACAGAGCACATTTCACTCTGAATGCATTTCATTATCAAAAAGTCCGTTGGTTTTATTGCGAAATGTTTTACCAGAGGGAGACTTTGTACAAAAGTCGTTTGCTTAGGCACCTCTGTCCCATTCGTGTTTTAACTGTAAAGCAGTTGTGTTTGCATGGCTGTGTTTCGGTTTGATGGGTGGGATATGGCGTGAATTTACAGGGTACAGAGGAATAACACATGAGTCCTCAGAAATGGCAACGCATGGGAGGTATCATGGGCGAAACCGTATACTCTGTTATGTGCATGGTAGTGCTCATGTCTATAGGCGACGGTTACCACTTTCCATCAGATGGGCCGTCAGCTTGTTTGCCATTCTAAGTTGTATAAAAAAAATATTTTACAATTGCTGCTAAAATGGACTGTCCCATCCTAAAATATTGTTTTTTGTTTTCATTAATGATAATGGAATGGTAACCCCGCCGGCGCTAACGGTATACGCTGGCGGGGTACCAGTGAGGGATGATAGGTGAGAATGAAAAGGCAGGTCAGTTCGTAATGAATACACCTGGAATTCAACACGATGGTTTCCAGGTGGGACCACGTGAAGGTGGGGCTGATAGGGTATACTGCTAGCAATGTGATTATCAATGCAAGAGCGTCATGACCGCTCATTTACTGACGTAGTTTAAGTAAATTTATAACTACCAAAAAGGGCCTTATGTTGTCTGAATAAATAAATAAATAAATTATTATTATTATTTATCAGTAAACTTCAATTTTCAACCGACTTCAAAAAGGAGGTACTCAATTTCATTGTACTTTTTTTATGTTCGTTACCTCATAACTACGGCAATTGTAAGCCGATTTGGAAAATTATTTTTTTTTCTAAAAGAATATATTTACAGATTGGTCCTATAGAAATTTTATCAAAATCTTCTTACTTCAAAGTACTGGTGTACTGACAGATAGATAGATAAACACTTTATTTGAGCCATTTATGACACACGTAAATTAATAAATAAATTTATACAATCTGATTATTTATATTTTTTCAAATATAAGACAAAAGATGAATATTGGAGATATGTTTTCACCAAATGTGTCGCAGTGACCCAAAAAGGCTACAGCTCAGTGATACTTTTGCTTAAAAGCAAAGCATTGATTTTCAGCTGCAACCTGAAGTAAGGCTACACGGACGCGTGGTGCTTGGTGGTGTCTTACGATACCCACGGAAAAGAAAGGGATGGCCCATTCTATGCTGAGACGACACAGCAATGGACATAGTTCATCAGGATTGAACTCACTGCGATTTTCCCAAAGCATAATGCATTTTTTTCAAATTTGATTAACAGCCAATTTAACCTGACTAAAAATTAAATAAACGGTACGCAATTTTCCATTTTAACGATATTACCAAACTGTTATTTGAATAGATCGCAATACTAAATGGTAAATTACTTACGTTCACCTCAGTTGAGTTTTAAACTATCCAATTTAATTAAATTAATCAATGCACAATTTAGAAATTGTATTATTATCACACAAGTAGTACACAAGAATCGCGTTTACACCACAACAAGTGCACTACACGAATGTTTATTATTAGTGGTGTTTGCATATTGTTTAGAAGCGTCTCGGATGGAACCCGTTCTAACGACCTTTGAGGTTTCTTGCGTCACGCATCTTAGGTGCCATCTCAGATATGAGCCAGTAAATAATCATGTATAATATACATATAGCAAAATTATATTTTTATCCTTAGATTAATTTATCTAATTGAAATGTTAAATCTTAAAATCATTAAACTAAATATCTATCATAAATAACTATCGATATATTTTCAAAAAATATAATATCAGTGAGAAAGCAACTGAGTAAGCAATTTTTTTATTCATAGTCAGTTTGTATTACTGTTGTATGGATAAAAAGACCATATTTTGGTCAAATATTTACATTTAATCTTTAAGTTGTATTTTACTTATAGAAAATTCACATCTCCTCTCTTAAGGAGAGGAGATGGCAAACTAACCCCCAGCAGAAGCACAGTCGGCCGGGGTTCAGGGCCCCAGGGAGAGAAGAGAGAGGAAGTATTTTACTTATCATTATTATTATTTTTTTTTTGTTTTTATTTGTTCTCTCTTGTTTGTTCATTATATTATGTTAACTCCTATTTTTGTTGCTTTGTGTACAGTGCCTTGTATCTATATTGTTGCTACTTGTGAAAACCTATTAGTGGCTTGTTTTGTTATCCTAAAACTGTATCTATTTGCTGTAGAGTAGCCCTGGTTTTCCTATGAATAAATAAATAAAATAAAAAAATAAATAAAAAAAATTCTAATGTATGTAGTATATTCATTTATTTTAACGTTTATTATATAAGTAGGTAGGTTCTTTTTTAATGAGTGATAATGGAATGCTAGCCCCACTCGCGCTATCGGTATACACTAGCGGGGTACCAGTGAAGGATGATAGGTGAGAATGAAGCAGGTCGGTTAGCCTATCGTGATGAATTCAACAAGAATTGTTCACGATGGTTTCCAGGGGGAATCACGTGAATCACCTAATAGGGCATATTGCTAGCAATGGGGCTGTCAAAATCCATTGCTAACAATCCCTTTCCCCCCTAATAGTAGGTAGGTATTATATGTATTTATAGTGTATGTATTTATGTAATATTTTATTATATATTTAAAATATTTAGCTATATATTTGTTTATGTATTAATAGTTGTAGCACTTGAGCTGCCCGCTAACGAAATGCTTTCTTACTGTACTGGGTTGACTGGAAGAGATCTCTGTCAGAGATAAGTCCACCCTTGTTCACAACATTTATAAATAGATTATATTATATGTAACATACAAGTGCAATAAAGAATATTAATAATAATAAAAAAAAAATCTGATAATAAAATAAATAATTAAAACGTATTCTTCGTTGATTACGTGGCTCGAATCAATAATGGATACTCGTGTAACGCCATTGAGACGATTATGGGAATTACCATGAAATCATCATGCTTGTAGCATCCTATTAAATGTTGATTGTTGATCTTTTGCGTCTAAGTAGATGCAGGCATTATATTAATTGTTTATAGCTGTACAATTTAATGCACGATTAATAATATTACTTGTTGGTGAATCAATAGTCATTAAAATATGCGTTTTAATTAATTAACAGACGGACTGTTTTTTTTATGTACGTATACATTTATAAACTATGTATTTAGTATTTTAAATAATATTAATTATTAATACAGTAGTAATATTACTATTATATAAAAAAAAAGAGTTTACTTCTTAATTTTTTGTTATTATTAGAATTAATTAACACTCAATTTGACAATAGGTTTAGAATTATTTTTTATGCAACTTAGAAACTTAGAATGGTAAACAAGCTGACAGTCCACCTCATGGAAAGTGGTAACCGTCGTCTATAGGTATGAACAGTACTATGGATATAACAGAGTATACTGTGTCGCCCATGATATGTCATGCGTTCCTAATCCTAAGGACCAAAAAGCCTCTGTACAATGTGATTTCATTGCCATATCCCATCAAACAACCATGCAAACACAACTGCATCTTAGCAGAAACACGAATGGTTTTGAACAAGCGATTAAATATTATATTTTACAAAGAAAGTTAAAATTTTATCTGAAAGTTATTTTTTAAATCTAATACAATCTTTATTTAACTTAATATATTGTAAGATTTCAACAAAATCAGTCTTATTTGTTTTTATATAAAGTGCTAAACGATAAATATAAACGGAAAATTCAATCATACTTTTTAGTTCAGTATCGCTTGTACCCAGGGTTGCCAGACGTGATTCTTAATTTAGAGCCAAATATAAAAAAGAAATCTCCAAATTGGACACGATCTAATTAACTTTTATTTAAATACAAACTCGTGTCGGTTTACATTACGTTTTGCTATGTAATCACTACAAGAAAGATGTAAAGAAAAGCCCTTATTTATACTTCATTTTTTCAAACCATATTAATAATTTATTGCTGTCGCCATTACTTTCCTGCTCATGTTTCAATTATTTCCCGCAGGCATAATGTGTTTTTATTCATATTGCTCAAAAATTTTGGCTTTTGATTACCATAAATAGCCGGCCTGACGTTAACCCACTTTGAGAATGCATTTGTTAATGTTATTTACCATCTGCGGTGTGCAAAATAGGCAGATAGTAAAATTAACTGGTGAAAAAGTAATGGAAGATTTATGGCGGAAAAGGAAAAAGGGATACTGTAAATGCGGAAGAGATGCTGGCTAGAAACTGCAGTGGCTCGGAAAGTCAACGTCGCATCCCGTGTGCCTTTGCTCCAAATCTGGTCAGATTACTAGATGTTTTCATTACTTTAATCCATTGAGATTATATGGTTTACCAATACCAAATCAGTTAAAAAAGTTATGTAGTAGTTTCCCTACGCCTCAATTATTTCTTTTACCAAAATTTTGCGAAGGACAAAATTTTTACCTAAAATTGTGGAAACTTATTTAGTCTGGCAACACTCCACATACCATATACATACATAACAATGTACCACTACCTACTATTATTTCTAAATATGTTTACAATTTCGATTTCGTTACGACTTTATTACATGTAAATTAACGACGTAAACGCCCGGGGCATTTAAACCCATTTGGAAAATACATGTTATGTTTTGGGTCTTTTATTATGAGGTTTATTTTTTATATTTTATTTTTATACATCGGTACGTTTTATTTTTGGAATGTGATACCATTAAAATACCTTTTGAGTTCCTTGGCCGTGGCCTGTGGTACTTGTTTTTGTGGATTCCTGTTTTTAGTATGAGAATGTTATTTTTACCACATAATAATAAATAATGAAGATAATTAAGGTATTAACATTTAGAACTTCGTGTTGAAGGTTTTATGGTTTACAAGAGATAGGATTTAAAGCGTTAATTTAGGTAAATTATAATATTTTACCTGAATAATCACAACGTTCCAACCATGTTACATTGACCGTGGTCACAAATAGACTAATATTGCGCTATCATGCCGCCGTTTCCGAGGTCTAAGTTTTTTCTTCTACCCTCTCATTGTGTCAACTTTTTTCTCGATTGAGATCATTTGCCTTGTTTGCGATACGAAATGTATTTTTTTTAATGGTTGATAATGGAATGACAACCCCGCCTGTGCTATCGGTATACACCGGCGGGGCACCAGTGAAGGATTATAGGTGACGATGAAGTAGGTCAGTTAGCTCATCGTGACGAATTCAACAAGAACTAGCCACGACGGTTTCCAGGGGGAACCAGGTGGAGGTCGACCTGGTTGGGTATATTGCTAGCAATGGGGCTATCAAACTCCATTGCTAACAATCCCTTCCCCCCTATACGAAATGTATTAGTTACTAATGTATTGGAATAGAATAGAAATAATCTTTATACAAGTAGACTTGTTTATGAGCTCTTTTAAATCGTCAATTCTATATGATTCTACTGCAGAGTTGTGGTTGTTATCTGCCGAGAAGAACTGGTATGAAATTAAACAGTTACTCTTTTTAAATTATTATGTACAAGGTTTTCTTACATTTGCCTGGATAGTGTGATTATAATTAGAAATCATTTCTATTTATATGTATTATTAAATGGAAAATAAATAATTAAACGTGAGCAGATTAGCGCCTACAAGCAGCAGCCGTTCACGAGTATGACAGATGAGCTAGCCATCATTGCGCTCAACCATTTTTTTAGGGATCTCAATGATCCGGTTCATCACCTAGTATAGTACAGTATAAAGTATTCGATAGTATCTTACCAAATTTATAGGGGAGGTGGGGGGAGGGGATTGTTAGCAATGGAGTTTGATAGCCCCATTGCTAGCAATATACCCAGCCAGGTCGACCTCCACGTGGTCCTGGAAACCACCGTGCTGAATTCCAAGTGTATTCATCACGATGGGCTAATTAACCTGTCTTTTCATTCTCACGTATTTTCCCTCACTGGTGCCCCGCCAGTGTATACCGTTAGCGCAGGCGGGCTTACCATTCCATCATCACCCATTAATAACACCTGAGTCCTCAGGAATGGCGACTACTCTGTTATGTCCATGGTACTGCTCATGTCTATAGGCGACGGTTACCACTTTCCATCAGGTGGGCCGTCAGCTTATTTGACATTCTAAGTTGTATAAAAAAAAAACATTAAAAAAAAACTCGGCCTTCACGCTACCTTGTATATTCTATAGTACAGTTGATTCTTTAGTATCTAATATACTTTATAGCAACTAGTCATAAATTTGGAGCGAGAAATATCGCAACCACCTTACGGTTATAGATATTTCATAATATTTCCAACTTTCTAACAAGGAATGTATTATAAATTCATGTGAATCAATTAAAACATAAATTGGATAATAGAATTGGTTAAAGTTATGTTAATTCCATCTGCGATTAATTTACATACATATATATATATATAAATAATATGTGCCAATCTGTCACAACTCTAGCGACGTAGTTTGGGAAAAATCAACACCTAATAACAAGGAATTACATAAAAGGAGTGATAAAATTGTCAATTCATAGCAGGCTAGTGTATAGAAAATGTTACACGGCTGTATAACCCTACCAA